CAACAAAACTCTGTTTTGTGCACGCCCAGCCAATCGTATGGAAGCTCCTTAACTCCAGGCAGATTGTGCAAGCCCACCCAGATCCTGATGCTTCCCGCATCAGGACGCACAATGAAGTCTTGCTTAGCTACATGATGCATTTGCAGGTCAGGCAATGGGGATGGGTCTTGGTGAGGGCTCATGTGTCTGGGTCAGGGTGGGGTCCCCCTGAGGCCCCAGCATATGTCAGGGGGAGAGCTGGGAAGGCGAAACACATGTGCCACCTCAGTCCAACTAGATGGTATGGTCCCTTTGAGTCTGTCCCCTTTCTCCTCAGCCATGCAGGCTGAGGAACTCAGACATCTCCAGTAATGGGCCACAGGATGAGGGGTTTTCTTCTCCTTACAGCCTTTACCTCCACAGTGAAGTGATCATTAAGGATTATCCTGTTGCACTTTCAGTAAGGAGTGCCTCCCGGCATGGTATAGGAGGTGGTATGTGGCAGGATATGCCTGGCATGGGCCATCCCGACTCCTCTTTCTCCAGGGTACCAGGGTTTCTCATTCCACTGCAGTCCAGTGGTTCCGGGGTCATGGAGGTAAAGCCCCCAGCTGTAGGCGGAATACCGCCTACCTCAGCTTCGTCAGCTGGTTGGTGCACCATGACTGCCCAGGGTCGGGCAGGATTGCTGAGGTGGGGCCACTGTGGGGATCCTGGGAGAGGACCTTGCCGATTAATCCCAGGCCTCTGGAGAATTGGCTTCGAACCACGGCCCGATCTGTCCCCCAAAATTTCCCCAGTAGCCCAGATCATCAGCCAGGGCCTGTGTCTCAATCCACTGCAGTACCACCCAAGGGAGTTTGGCCATCTGAGATGGAACAGAAAAAATGTCAGGTGAGCAGTCCAGGTCTCAGGGCGCATCTGAGGTCAGAAGTTTGAGACCAGGCTGACCAACACGGTGAAACCCCATCTCTACTACAGATAGAAAAACTTAGCCGGCCGTAGTGGTGGGTGCCTGTAATCACAGCTACTTGGCAGGCTGAGCAGGAGAATCGCTTGAACCAGGGAAGCAGAGGTTGCAGTGACATGAGATCCTGCCATTGTACTCCAGCCTGGGTGCAGAGTGGAGACTCCATCTCAAATATACAAACATATATATATAATATGTATAAAATATACTATATAAAATATACTATATATTATATGTTAGTATATATATATATATACTAAATATATATATAATATATAAAATATACTAAACAAATATATAATATATATAAATATACTATATATAAAATATACTCAATATATAAAACATATGTATATATGTTTTAAATGTTGGGCAATGTTCACTGTTGCCAGCTAAATGCTATCCTTTTCCACAAAGAAAGCATCTTTTCCTGCAATAGCAATATAATTTTTCAACATTGTGGTAGAGCACAGATAATGTGATGCCTATCATTTCAGCCAGTTTACAGTCCAAGTCACTGGTAATAAGTACCTTGACATAATTATGCAACCATCATCACCATCGCCTTCCCATCTTCCCAATCAGAAACTCCGTCCACCGTAAGCACCAATTTCCAGGCGGGCAAGGAGGCTCAGGCATGTAACCCCAGCAGATCAGGAGGTCAAGAGGTCAAGACCATTCTGGCCACACAGGTGAAACCCTGTCTCTAATAAATGCGAAAATCAGCTGAGCGTGGTGGCACGCACCTGTAATTCCAAGCTACTCGTGAGGCTGAGGCAGAGAATTGCAATTTCCAGGCCGGAGACGGCAGGCTGCACTGAGCCAAGATGGAGCCACTGTACTCCAGTCTGGGTGACAGGGCGAGACTGCCTCTCAAACAAAGAGAAAGAAAGAAAAGAAGAGAAACACCAATTCCCCATTCCACCTTCCTAGTCCCTGCCACTCAAGAGTTCTAGTTTCTGTCTCTGTGAAATCTGTGGCTGTTCTAGACATTTTAGATAAATGAAGTCATATGCTATGTGGCCTTTCATGTCTGTCGTCTCTCACTGAGCCTGCTGTCTTCAAGGTTCATCCACACTGCCACCTGTGTTTGAGCCTCATCCCTTTTCCTGGCTGTATAGTATTCCACGATGGAATGTGCACAGAGCCCATTCCATTCACCTGTTCATCCATGGATTGACACGTGGCCTACTTCATCTTTGGGCCGTTGTCAATCATGCTGCTATGTATGTGGGTGTAGCAGTGTGCTCTGTCTTTCTAGGAAAGCCTGGAGAAATACGTGCACACATGACACCATGTCCTTTGCGAAGACGTCTGTGGAGCTGGAAACCCTCATTCTCGGCAACTAACACAGGAACGGAAAGCCAAACACCGCATGTTCTCACTCCTAAGTGGGAGCTGAAAGATGAGAACACATGGGCACAGGGACAACAATATCACACACCAGCACCTCTCAGGGTAAGTAGTGGGAGGAAGAGCATCAGGAGCCATAGCTAAATCGTGGTGGCCTTAATACCTAGGTGATGGTTTGGCAGCTGCACCAAACCGCCGTGACACACTTTACCTATGTAACCAAGCTGCACACATGTCCGTGTTCCCCAGAGCTTAAAATACATTCTTTTTTAGATGGGGTTTCAGCCTTGCTGCCCAGGCGGAGTGCAGTGCTGTGATCTCGGCTCACCTCAACGTCCTCCTCCAAGGTTTCAAGTGATTCTCCTGCCTCAGCCTTCCGAGTACCTGGGATTTCAGGCATGCACCACCACGCCTGGCCAATTTCTGTTTTTAGTAGAGATTGGGTTTCTCCGTGTTGGTCAGTCTGGCCTCGAACTACAGATCTCGGCTGATCTACACACCTTGGCCTCCCAAAGTGTTGGGATTGAAGGGTGGGCAGCACACTGGCCAAAGTAATATTTTCCAAAAGTTTACATAGCACCAAGAAAAGATGTCTGATTGTTTTTATTAGACCGATGGTACAGTTGAGCACTTTCTCTGATAAGACATTATGACTTCGGGACCCATGTGAAATCACTAGACTGAATTGCAAGCAGGAGTCGAAGAAGGCCAGTCAGCTGCATTCACTTTGAGGGGTGGCCAATATGCCTGAGGCACCAGGCCCTGGCACTCCCGTCCACAGGGACAGTTGCTGGTTTACTCTCTTCCCTGGGGCAAGGTCTTCCCCTACCACCACTTTACAACAGACCAATCCCAAAACAAGTCCTGGGATTTACTTATGATCTTCTCGTTACGTAGCTCCCTCCTAGAAAAATCATGGCAAGACCCTTTCCTCACTTTTTTCTCAGGCACTAAGGTTGGGGCAAGACCCTTCGTGATGTCCTGGTAACAGGCAAGTCCCTAGACATTTCCCAGTCTGAGCTGCCCTGAGTGTAAACACCAATCTGCTGCCGACTCCCACCGTCGGGCTACTCTATTGTGCAGGAGTGTCCTTTGACCAGCACAGGGAAGCATAGAGGACAGCTTGAGGGAGCCACAGAGTTCCCGCTGTTTACAGAGTAAGTTGCTGAGAAAACCCGTTTTCTCCTGCCTTGGTGGGTCATGGGGACAGCAGTCAGAGGAGGCCAACGCTCTCACTCAGGAGCCTCAGCTGTCTGCATGGGAACAGGGGCAAAACTGGGCTATGGATTTTCAAAGCTCAACTGCTGATACCCAGCAGGAGGTCCGTAATGCATATGGAAGGCAGCACAAAAACTGCAAGAACTTTGACTGTTCAAACCCTCTTCCCTGAGACAGCACAGCTCTTCTCACAGAAGCTGTGGTGACCAGAGTCCGTACGGCACAGGAACCTTAGCACTCCCTTAGTGCCTCGCCAACGCGGATGCTCCTGTTGGAACTGTTTTATCTGAGATCGGAGAAGCAAGTTCTGGACCCACCACTGAAATCCCCCTCCCCCTCTGCGGCAGAGACAACTCCTTGTCCTGTGCATGGACGCAGATGTTCCTGGCTACCAGTCACTCACTCCGGAATGAAGGCTGTTATGTTTTGTCCTCCTGCGTGAGGCCTGTAACACATGATCTGCCACTTCGGGTTCCTTCTCTTTACATTATTAACCTTCTGCAAAGTACGCTGGAAAAAAAAAAGCATGCCCACAGAAAGTAAAAGGGCCCTGGGCTCCAGAAACAATATACAGTGCCCTGCATTAGCGAGAAGAGATCCTCACTATAGTTGGCAAGGAACAAAATGCACCCGCAATGTGTTAGTTACAAACAATATTGACTCCTGACCTAATAATCTTGGAGAAAAGCTTAATCCATCTGAAGATGTAAACATCAACAACACTGTCCATATCCTGGGTCATCAAGGGACAGAGAGTCCATGCATGGACCCGCTGGCATTCTTGTATTTCATGGATCCACCCCCATTACCCTCACCTCTGCATGTCTGTGTTTTCCCTTAGTCATCTATGCTGGAAAAAAAAAAAAACAAACAAACAGAAATAAAAGAGAAAGGCATATCCCAAATGCCTTCCCACATGCGTCTGTATCCTTTCTCACAGTCCCTACACACACCTCACATGCGCATTTCTTACCATGTTGCTGGGACCGAGAGGATGATTGTCCCAGAAAATCACCAGAGAGGTGATTATGCATTCACCAATAAAACAAGAACATGTGAACTCAACGCACAAGTGAACTTCAAGATTCCATCATCCTTGTCTAGCTTAATGTGTCTTATGATACCCCAAACAAAGGACTGTGGAGGTACCTCCGCCCAGCAAACTGGGCCCTGGATATCTTGGTGCGCACTATCCCCTTTCCTTGAACCACTGCTGCTTTTGCAGCACAAAGCAAGCCTCCAACTGCACTTCCTTTGCTTTCTTTTGCCTCTCCAACTCTGGCTTCTAGGAAGAATCCCAAAATGCGCCACACCCAGTCACTCTATAACTTTAGCGGCCCGTCTCCACTGCAGATGATGCAGAGAATGAAACACATGGAATCCACTGGGTACACACACACACACACACACACACACACACACAGACCCACACAACCCTCCCCCCCCGCCCACAGACACACACACACAAGAGTCACACGTCCTTGACAGTGTTTATTTTCACTCCATGAAATCCAAGTTTACCCCCTCTTCCTATCTGCATTTTTCTATGACAGGATCTGTCTTTCTTTTGCTTCCTGTGCATAAGACCATGTTGAGTACTGACATCCTGAATAATGTAGTAACTTTTCAGGAGTTCTGCCGTTTCAGGTGAAGTCCGACACACCATCATATTCAACCCGAAAAATGGGAGTCCCCTAAAGAAACACAACTGCGTGTCAAAATGCATTTCCTCTGAGCAATAGTTTTAAATGCTTTAATTTTAGGGCCCGCCCAGAAAAGACTACCCCTTCCCCGTTTGTGATCTCCTAAACTTCCTCCTACCATATGTTACCAGCTGTTCTCTGTCATACCTGCCCCACTGCCAGCATTTTCTCCCTGTGACGGAAGTCAGCTAACAACAGTGACTGGGTGTGGCGCAATCTGGGATTCTTCCAAGAGGACAGAGTTGGAGAGGCAAAAGAAAGCAAAGACAGTGCAGCTGGAGGCTTGCTTTGTGCTGCAGAAGCAGCAGTGGTCAAGGAAAGGGGATAATGTGCACTAAGATATCCAGGGCCCAGTGTGCTGGGATGATGGTACCTCCACAGTCCTTTGTTTGGGGTATCATAAGACACATTAAGCACATTAAGCTAGACAAGGATGATGGAAATCTTGACGTTCACTTATGCGTTGAGTTCACATGTTCTTCTTTTATAGGTGAATGCATAATCACCTCTCTGGTGATTTTCTGGGACAGTAAGAGCACACAGAAATCTGATCGGGCTATAGTATAAGAACAGCAGTCTAAACAGTCATTGTGGTTTGTGGCAAGGAGGCATATCCAGGGAGCCCAATCTTAAGGGGCTGGTAGGATGACTGCCAGTGGGGGTTGGCAGCCATGGAAACAAGTGCCACAAATTGAAGGTAATGATTCAGCTTCACTTCTCAGTGAGTCTGGACAGCGACTATGCTTGGCTGGGCTTAAGACTCCCCAGCTCTAACCTGCCTTGCAGTGCCGTCTCTGATGTGCCTCTTTGAGCCCAAATGCCCTGGATGTACTGGATTCTGTCACTCTCTGTCTCCCTGTCGAGGTATTCCTACGTGTATGAAAGGAGCCTCAATTTCTACATTTCCGAATGCAGCGTCCAGGCTCCCTGCATACAGGCATGTCCACCTTCCTCATCCTGAGGATCAGTCAGCTCTAGCTCCAACTGAACGGCTTACCTGAAATCTCTGTTCCCTCTTCGGGTGGCCTGGTCCTCGTGTAGTATTGCAGGGGATTGCGCCACAGGTCCTTACTTAGGATCTATCACAGGAATCAATTGGGAAGGCCTCATCAGGGCTGAGACTGGTGAGCCAAGCAGCTGGGAACACACCGGGGTCATTCCTGATGTTTTCAGCGAGGACCCACCTCAGCGATCCTGTTAGATCCTGCGAAGTTGTGGTCAGAAAACCAGTTGAAGAAGTTAAGGCTGCTGTTCTGGTGTCCTGCGGCGGTAGGCCCACGTTCATAACGCTGATGCCACTGAACTGGAGTGGAATGAGAAGGCCTGTATTCTACAGAGAGGGGATTTTGTGGGAAGTGGGCTGGATCACGTTGGCAATGATCCATCCACCTACCCACCACCTTCCTTCCACTGCCCCTCCTGGGAGCCACCAGTCACCTGTGAGGTTCACGAGATACTCCTTGGTAACCACGTTATTCTGGAAGTAGGGGTTGCTCCGAAAGAACAACATGATCTTGCAGACGTGAATAGGTTGCTTTGTTTCTTTCACCTGTCAGGACAAAGTGGAGAAAGCTTACGTATCTTTCCAGGTGAGGTGCCCACTGTTGCTGACAGCAAGGAGTTGCTTCCCTTCCCCCTCCCCACTAAACCTTCTAGCCTCAGTCCTCGTGGCCTCACCTCCAAGTTGATCATGTAGCTAAGCATGCGTACATCTTGGTCAGTGATCAGGGCTGACATCTGGGGGTGGTTTGCAATCTGAATTAGGTCAAAGAGCCTTTACAGGGATGGAAGGAAGAGGTACAAGCAACAGGGAAGCAGGTCTAAGAGCCAGAAGGAACACGGAAGAAGCTCTAAGGCTGGGGTACGGGATTTCTGAGATCTGCTTCAGTGTGTGACCTTCATTTCCCCACCCCCTGCCCGGAATTAAGGCCTCGTGGGTTCTCGGAGCGTGTATAATTCTGAGGCTGACTGGGGCAATCTGCAGAGGGCTGCTGGCGTCTCAGGAGGGGCAGAGCCAGCTTATACCCGAAAATGTCCTGTCCCAGATCTGACTGGCAAGGGGGAGCGATCACACTCCCTTATCAGTAGCTTGATTCTCCGAAAAAGAAACTCTGCTGGGGGAGAACTCGCTTCTGCTCTTCAAAAGCATGACTCAACCACCTGCTGCTCGGCATCTCGAAGGGTTTCTGTGCCGCCCGCAGGCAGGAAAACAGTACCTGCGACCGCTCCGGCCTTCTAAAGCCAGACTTTCACGCCGCAACTCGCATCTCGCAACTCACCGTTGTTTCCAGAATAGACATATCCATGCTGAGCTGCCCCTAAGTTATTTACAGTTCCCCTAGAGCATCTTTCAACCGGACGAACAGAAAAAGTGCTGAAAAGGATACGACATTGGCCCAGAAGCCGGGGATGCCCCGGATGATGGCGCCTCTGCGATCCAGGTGGGGCTTGCGCCTGCGCTCCAGCTTTTCCCTCTGCTGAGAAAAGGCCCTCCTGGCTCGGGCGTTAACAGGCTCCAGCTCCACCTGAACAGCCCGGAGCTCGTCCAGTGCGGACTCTGGCGTCAGGGGCCCAGGCCCCGGCTGTGCCCCTTTGTCCTGCCGCTCCCGCTCGACATCGGCTTCCTCCTCGGCCGCCGCTTCCACTTCCGCCATTATGTCGTCCTCCACCACCAGCACCGCCTCCTCCTCCTCCTCCCTCAAGGCGTCCTACTTGCTCTGCTTCCCTTACTGGAGCCTGCGGGTGGCTTGGCGGACGCCCAGGGCGCATGCGCGGGACTTCCAGGCGCCGCCGGGCCCCCCGCCGCCAACCCGTTACTCTGCCGCGCTTACGGGAGCCTGGGCGTGGCTTGGCGGACCCCCAGCGCGCATGCGCAGGACTTTCCGGGCGAACCCGTGGCCAACTGCCTCCAAATGGGTGGCCGAGCTGGAAGCAGGCTGTAGGCCTCTCCCGGCGGCCAGTCAGTGCCAGGGCGGTGGGCGTGTCCATGGAAGCCACGCCCCCGGCTGGGCCTGCAGCCGCAGCCTCCTCGGGTAAGCCTGGGTGAGAAGCCCTGGGAGCTCGCGGCAGGCGGCGGTGTGTGCGGGCACACGCGGGCTGCCCGCCCTTTGGAATTGTGGGCATGGAAGCCCTGTGCCCTAACTGCCATCATGAGTGTGGCAGGCCATTGATCCACAGGGAACACATGAAGCATCTCAGTTCGTTCGGCAGGCCAGGTAGATGGTACTGAGTATTCCAAGATCCAAGATCGAGAGGAGAGAGAGAGGCACCAGCGCTGGCTGCTGGGGCGAGGGCTGCGGAGAGGCTTGAGGAAGTGGGGCGGGGCAGGCGCCTGGAAGGAAAGTTGCCTAATATCTTGCTGGAGTGGAATTTGTCTGCTCCAGAGGTGGAAACTCTCGCTCGGACTCCTGCAGGTCTAGGCGCATACAGGCTCCGAGTACCTTGCTTCCTCCCTGAGGATGCTGGACTCGCAGGAGCATTCCAAAGCACCTGGCGTCCAGTGCCCTGGACACACCTTGTGGACCCAGAGGCTACCGCAAGCGCAGCAGCGGCCGTGGTACCTGCTGGCTGGGCTCTGTAAGACCAGGGCCTCCGCCTCCTGCTCCTGGGCCCCGGTTGGGGACCTGGCTCCTGTTGGGGACCTGGGCCCCACGGCAAGTGCCTAGGGCAGCCAGCCGGGTGGGGCTCCCCAGGAACCCTGGGTCCAGGTAGGCACGGCACGGGGTTCTCAGCAGGGGAGTCTAGGGCTGCCGGGGTCTTGGGGAGGACGCCGCAGGGCATGGTCTGTGAGCGCCCCCAGGAGGGGCCGAGTTCAGGCTGGAGGCTCTGCAAGGGTGGGCGGCTGGGGCGAGGAGCTAGGAGGCAGCCGTGCGGGAGGAGGCAGTGCTGGTGGTGGACGACGTGGTGGTGGACGACGTAATGGTGGACGTGGACGCGGTGGCCGAGGAGGGGGCTAACACCGAGGAGCGGCAGCAGGTGGACCAGCGGGCCCAGCCTAGCCCTGGCCCCAGCAAGCACTGGCTGGCAACGGACTCGCCGGAGGTCCTTCAATCGGAGCTGGGCTCCGTTAATGCCCCAGATGGCAGGGCATCTCCGGCTTCTGGGGAGACCCATATCCTTGCAGGTTTCAAGACTCGGGTTCCTGGGACACGGGGCTGCCCTCCTCTGCAAGGCAGGCACCAGCTCCCCAGACACGCTCTCCTCCCTTTTGCTGGCCCTGCCCCCAAAGGGGTGTCGTAGGCCCCTTGGGAGCATAGATAACCTCCGCCGCACCCACGAGAGCCCCTTGGGGAGCACCAGGCACAGCCCTGCAGCCCCTTCTACCCTCAGCGGTTTCCTCATGGGGAGTCATCCACCCCTCAGGGAGTTCGGGAGAGGAGAACACCATACAGCCAGAGAGCATCAGACCCTGTTCAGCAGCCAGCACACGAGGGCCTCGTGCGGCTCCGGAATCCTGAGGAAGCAGCCGCCTCATACCACCCAGCCCGCCCCCTAACCTCCTGACCACTTCTTCCGTGGGTGGCCCCTGGACAGCGTAGGCTTTCTCGGCCTCGTTCCACCCACGCCCAAGTCCACCACAGCCGTGAAGTGCCCCCACGCCGGACACAGTCAGAGGACCACCAAGAAAGGGTGCCAGGCCCAAGGTCTGCCGGAGACCCCTGCCCCACACTCTCTGCCCTCTTGCAGAGTTCCACTGTGTTTTATGGGACATTCACTCAATCATCTGGAGGCTCTTTGAGCAGAGGCAGATTGTGCAGCACAGCCAGATATTTCCCCCCCAGATCGCAAGCCACCATACAGTCTGGCTTACTTGCTTAGCTACATGATGGATTTGCAGGTCAGGCTGGGAAGCCTAGGTCTGGGGGAGAGGTCAGGACTCAGGGGTCGGCCTGGATCCGGGTGCGGGGGTGGGGTTTCTGGGGGGAGGGGCGAGCTGGGTGGAGGAAATGCCTGCTTCTCTCCAGCAGCTGGCAGGCCGCTTCAGCCCAGGTAGCTGAAATGGTCTCTTTGTGGCCCTACTCCTTCTCCCTTCGTCACCAGGCAGGTGGAGGAACTCAGCCATCCCAGGTACCAGCAGCAGGATGAAGTTCTCCTTTCCTCACAACCTTTACTTCGTCCGTGCGGTGATCATTAAGGAGTATCCCCTTGGTGTCCTAGGTAAGTAGTGCCTCCAGGCTCCCCAGGGGAAGTGGTGCGTGAGAGGCTAGGCCTGGCATGAGCCTTCCCCACTCCCCTCTCTCCAGGATACAGGGTGGTTGATTCCACTGCACTCCAGTGGCTCTAGGTTCATGAGGGTGAAGCCCCCATCTGCAGGCAGGCGGGACACCAACAACCTGAGCTTCTTCAGCTGCTTGGCTGATAATATGATAATATAGGGAAATAGACTCAAGAAAAGTTTTGAGTGACCTGCAGATTCCTTTAGAGTACTTACTTGTACATTTTTAACTTCTTTCCCCTGTGGCTCTGTTTATTATTTGTGATGTATATTTGTTTTCTTACTTGCCTCTTGTGGAATGTTTGTTTCAAAGGATTTTTTTAAAATTTTCCTGTTGGATATGTGAGTTTGCCTGTGAGCACTTTTTCGTGAACAGAATATGAACTTATGTTTATTTTTTCAGATGGAGTCTCACTCTGTTGCTCAGGCTGGCTGGAGTGTAGTGGTGTGATCTCAGCTCACTGCAACGTCCCCCTCCCAGCTTCAAGCAATTCCCCTGCCTCAGCCCGCTGAGGAGCTGGGATTACGGGTGCGTGCCACCATGCCCAGCTAATTTTTGTCATTTTAGTCAAGATGGGGTTTCACTATGTTTGGCAGGCTGGTCTCGAACCCCTGACCTCAAGTGATCCACCCACCTGGGCCTCCCAAAATGCCGGGATTTAAAGGCATGAGCCACCATGCCCGGCCTCATTTGTTTGTTTACGTATTTTAACTCTTGTTCTGTATTCTTCACGTACACATATTGTAGAGTGATTGTAATATTTTATCTATTGACTCACTACTTTAGTAGGATTTGAAAAGCAATGTTTTCATTCACTGAATACAGTGCTGCAAATAGGTTGAACCTTGCTTGGGTAGCACTGTCATTCTTTCCTTCATAAATTCTTCAGGAACTCTGATACTATTTTCCCCCACCTGAGGAGAACGTGCAGATATGAAAATTCGTGTGAGTGAGTAGGTGTGAAAATATAATCTGAAAGACCAGTGAAGTTCAGAAGTACAATTTCGCAGTGTTTGCATTTTTAATTCACATCGTTTTGAAAACGCTATTTGCAGAGAAATGAAATCCTGTATTCACGTTCATGTTAAAGACACACTCGTGAATCGTTTTCAAGAATGAAATGGAAACAATCCAAGGCCATGCGTTAGTTTAGGAAGTAATAACACGGCAGTTGTTATGAAGAAACACCATATTTATTGAATGTATGTTTAGAGAGATTTTAGAAGGCTTAAGTCAATATTTTAGCTTTTGTTGCTCTGGGGTTTTATCAGACTGTGACCAGACTGTAGCGTGACTAGTTATAGTCGCTAGGCTACCAAAGTCTCTGGGCTGCAGTAATTATTGCTGAAGAAAGTGGCAATGAGTTTGGCTGTTTAAGGAGAGTAGATGAATGAGCAGTTTCTACCCGAGGCCTGGCTTACTGGGTGGCCTTCTTTTGCTGACGTAGATAAGATCCAGGGAGCTGTGGACTCACTATAGTAGCTAGGGCTTTGAGACTGGCGAAGCCTATTTGCCTCCAACTGCCATAGCCAGTTATTGGCCTGCACATAATGGCACTTCCTGGACTCACCGACTCCTGTGAATTCAAACACAGAATTTGGATTTAAACTCTATCCCAACTTCTAAAACTTAGATTTAAATTTAAGTGGATAATAAGGATCTATTCAGAAGAAAGGGAGACATCAGTTAAGTGCATAGGTAAATTATCCTGATCAAATACATTCAAAAATATCACTGACAACTAATCCTTAAAACGTTATTTTCACTAGGGAAACGGAAAATGTTAAGCTCACCTTAAGCTCTGAGGTATAAAGATAGAATTATTAGAATAAGGGAATTATGTAAAATATCTATTTTGTTTGAAGAGCAGCATACTAGTGATTTAGCATGGCTAGAGATTAACAACCCATGTAAGAAAACTCAGATATTAACAAAGGTTTTTTTCAGAAAGTTTGTTCTGTAATTAAAGAATTTGAAAATTTATTCCTACTGATCTATGATTCATTTGTACTTCTCATTTAGGCATAGGCTCTATATCCATTTATACAGAAACAAAGTGATAGTTTCTAACCTGTTAAAAGACAAAAAGAATGACCGCATACCACATTTGCATCAGAGTCTTTGGCCTGAGTGATGAAGCAAAGGACAGAACTGCCTATGTCAGGGTACAGATGGGCACAACTTGAAGCTTCCATCACTTGCATCTTTAACATCCTGGACTCTCATCGGTCTCTCCTAGAAAGACAAATGGACTATAACTATCCCAAAGAACATACGTTACATGTAAACACTAAGCATTGAGATGAGACCACGATTTGTCTTATTCCTAATGTCCTGTAAACACATTTGCATCTGTAACTTATACAAAGAAATTCAGTTTATTTTATCATTATTATTTTATACCCTACATTAATGTATTTCATTCTTTTTCTAGTCTTTTTTTTTTTTTTTTTTTTTTTTGAGATTGAGTACTGCTCTGTCACCCAAGCTGGAGTGCAGTGGCGTGATCTCAGCTCACTGCAACCTCCACTTCCTGGGTTCAAACAATTCTCCTGCCTTAACCTTCTGAGTAGCGGAGATTACAGGAACACACCACCGTACCTGACTAATTTTGTATTTTAGTAGAGATGGGTTTTCCCCCATGTTGGTCAGACTGGTCTCGAACTTTTGACCTTAGGGGATCCACCCGCCTCACCCTCCCAAATTGTTGGCACCACGCCTGGCATTTTTTCTTGCTTTTTTTTGAGATAAGTTCTTGCTTTTACACCCAGGTTGGAGTGGATTGGCATAGTCTTGGCTCACTGCAGCCTTGACCTCCTGGGTGCAAGCTATCCACCTGCCTCAGCTTCCCACATAGCCACATAGCTGTGCAACATCATCCCTGATTATTTTCCTTAGGTGAAGTCTTCCTATATCTCCCAAGATGGTATCAAACTCCTGGGCTGAAAGGCTCCTCCTAGTTAAATCTGCCACAGTGCTGGAACTATCCATAGCTCAGCCACTGCGGACAGCCTACTCACATTTTCATCGCTTTATAGATGCCACTCTTCAAAATTAACAAGTCAAGTTTAAATTATGCAATTTGAAATTCCGAGTGAAGTTCCACTTCATTTTCATGTAAAGGTAAAAAGAAACAAAATAACAAAACTCCTGTTTTTCCTTTGTCCAAAAGTTGGCCGAGTTGGGAATCAAATCATCTCTACTTTGGTTTATAAAACTTGACTGTACAGAGAAAGATTTTCATATAATTTTTTTCAGATCTGAATTCCTGTGACGTTATCATCACTATCATCGTCGTATAAAACATATACAAATTTCCTAGTGGGTATCTGATGAGGATTAAATGCATTATAGTTAATAATGAATACAGTTGTACTCATAGTTATTCTCTGAACCATAATATTAAGAATATGAACCTCATGTCTTTGAGCTACTACCCTAATGAGAAAAGTAACCGCTGACCTGGAATAAGATTTCGTGGCCCAGCGAGCCAGCATTCTGCACCATTCAGGTTCTTCAGATAGCCCAAGGGTGCTAAGAGCTGAGTGGGAGTCTGGACCTCTTGAAGGAGAAGTAATGCCAGGTCATTCCTTGCTGCCCCACTCCCCATCCGGAATCTCTCATGCAGTTAAATGGTAGACACCTTAACAAGTCTCAGGGATGCTCCTGGGTACCTCAGGCCCAGTGTCACAGCAGTGCCTTCAAGATTCCTGTGTATGTAGGCAAAGGTAATTAAAGTACATCCACTGGAAAACCTGAACCCTTCAAGACGACACCAGGATTTCCAGCATATATTTTTAGCCATGATACAGTAGGCAGGTTCCGAGTTCATCAGAGAAATCGGAAGTTTATGAATGGAGAGTCCACACACAATGGGATTGCAGAGGAATTAACCAACAGAAGTACCAATTAGCCAAACACAGAGAGGCAATTTATTTTTAGCCTAAAACAAGAAAGTTTTCTGTGTAAGTGAGATGGACCACTTGAACCAGGGCCGGGGCTTGTGAGATTTTTCTCAGAAAAACAATCAAGAAAGAGTTTTATTATTTCCACATTTCGATGTGAAAAAAGCCCGCGAGGTCGTGTGAATCAGATGAAGTTCAAGTAAGCACTCATGTACAAATAGCAGTTTCGCACTACGGAAGTTAATTTGCACGGAGAATCCTTCAGCAATATAATTAAGGGATAATGAATTATAGGGTATAGGAAGAGGCGCACAAACCTACATGTTCCGGACACAGTGGGCAGCTGTGAGAACCCAAGAGCTACTAATTGTGGAACCACTGCAGATCTGACTGCCACAGCTGATGATCACAGCCTGCCAAGGCATGGCATATCACAGAGAAATGTGATTTGCCAAAACTGAGGGGAAAAATAAGCACAGTTAATCTGTAGACCATTTTTTAAAGTTTTCCATCCCTCCTTGTAGGAATTCACTCAGGGTGGTGGCACAAATACTAAGCGAAAATATTTAGAGAAAGTTATTGAATAGTGTCGCAAACCCCTTTGGAAGACCTAAGGGTTTTTCTTTTTTCTGTAGTTTTTGGCTGAAAGCAGCCTAAATTCTTTTAAAATTTATTTAATAAGCAAAGCAAATAGCTAAGGTTTAATGGGGCAGTTTAGTTAATATCTTGTTTACTCATGTGGTTTTAAAAGTAACTTCTGAGCTGGATGGCCCTCTCAAGGAGAGGTCGACCAGGAAGATTACCATGTAATGCTGTTTACTGTGGGCATCAAAACCTGTCCTTTTAACATATGGTGGTGTTGACTCAAGTTTAATTTGTCAATTTAATTTGACAGGTGGCCACTGAGTCAGAAATAAAATGACACGAAAACTGATCGGCGCATAAATGCCCTGGGTATAAAGTTGGGGTATTTTCTTTTTTCTCCCTTTTTTTTTTTTTTCTGAAGACGAAATCTCGCTGTGTCGCAGGCTGGACTGCAGTGACAGGGTCTCGGCTCCCTGCCACTTCCGCCTCTTGGGTTCAAGCGATTCTCCTGCCTCACCGTCTTGAGTACCTGGTTCTACATGCACGTGCCGCCGTGCCCGGCTCATTTTTTGTATTTTTTAGTAGAGACCGGGTTTCACGGTATTGGCCAGTGTTGAACTCCTGATCTTGTGACTCACCCGCTTCTGCCTCCCAAAGTGCTGGATTAGAGGCCCCCGGATAATTTTTCGCATTTTCTAGTAGAGATGGGGTTTCGCCATGTTGCCCTGGCTTGTCTCGAACTCCTGACCTCAGGTGATCTGCTCCCCCCTCTGCCTCTCGAAGTGCTGGGATGACAGGCGTGAGGCACTCCAAGGTCTCACAATAGCTCAACTAAAATTCGAGGAGACTTTGGTAGGCTGAGGCGGGTGGATCACGAGGTCAAGAGATCGAGACCATCCCGGTCAACATGGGGAAAATTCGTCTCTACTAAAAATACAAAACCAGCGGGACACAGTGGCGCGCGCCTGTAATCCCAGCTACTCGGGAGCCTGAGGCAGGAGGATCACTTGAACCCAGGAGACGGAGGTTGCGGTGAGCCGAGATCATGCCATTTCACTCCAGCCTGGGTCACAAGAGCAAAACTCCGAAAAAAAAGAAAGTCGAGTATCAAGAAATCCAGTAGGAAATCCCATCCACGTCCCTAAAAACCTCAGAAGCACTGAGACCCTCTGCTGTGAGTCCAAGAGTCCAAAAGCTGAATAACTTGGGGTCTAACGTTTGAGGGCAGGAAGCATCTGTCTTGGCAGGAAAGACTAAGGCATAGATCAGAGGACTCAGGCAGCCTAGATTTTCCATGTTCCTTTGCCTGCTTTTATGCCAGCTGAGCTGGCACCTGATGAGACGGTGCCCACCCAGATGGCGGGTGCGTCTCTTGTCCCAGCCCCCGAGTCAGATGCTTGTTTCATTCCCTGTTTTGAGACACAGTTTTTGTCTTGCCACCCAGGCTGGAGTGCAGTGGCGCCATGTCGGCACACTGCAGCCTCCACCTCCGAGGTTCAAGTGATCCTCCTGCCTCGGCCTCCCAAGCAGCTGGGATGACAGGCGTCCGCCACCACCCCTGGTTGATTTTTGTATTTCTAGTAGAGACGGGGTTTCACCACGTTGGTCAGGCTGGTCTCGAACTCCTGACCTCAGGTGATCCACCTGCCTCGGCCTCCCAAAGTGCTGGGATTGTAGCAAGAAACCCAGTATTTTTCTGGAGTCCCCTTGGTTAAAAAGGCAGTCAATTCAATGGATTCCAGGCCTTAACATTTTATTTTTGCCGGGGCACTGGTGGCTCATGCACGTAATCCCAGCCCTTTGGGAGCCCGAGGCAGGCGGATCACCTGAGGTCAGGAGTTCAAGACCAGCCTGACCGAGACAGTCCAATCCCGTCTCTAATAAAATCCAAAAAGTTACCCAGGCGTGCTGGCGGGTGCCTGTAACGTCAGCTACTTGGAGAGCTGGGGCAGGAGAATCACTTAAACCAAGGAGGTGGGGGTTGCAGTGAGCCCAGATCATGCCAGTGCACTCCAAGCTGGTGACACGAGGGAAACTTGGTCTCAAAAAAAAAAAAAAATATATATATATATATATATATATATATATATATATAGACACTATGACACAGAATATATCCCTTCTCCATGTTCTGCACATGTACCCCAAAACCTAAAATGCAATACACACTGGGGTCTATTGGGGGGAATATGGGAGGGATAGTGGGGTGGTGGGGAGGTCAGGGAGGGATAACATGGGGAGAAATGCCAGATGTAGGTGACGGGGTTGGGGGGCAGATGGAGGCAGCAAACCACACTGCCCTGTGTGTACCTATGCAACAATCCAGCGTGATATGCACATGTACCCCAGAACCTAAAGTGTAATAAAAAATAAATAAAGTAATCATGTGAAACAGAAAATAAAAATATGCGTCAACGAATCATCTCATTCCATCATCTGAATGGCTCTGCCTCAACTTTCCTTTTTAGAAGAAGAGTTCTTCTATTCGTGTTTTTCTTCTGGTCCCGTTTGGAAATTTATAATCAGCCTGAAAACTTCTAATGCGATTTATGTGTCCCGAAATGGGATGCGGAAATCTAAAACAATGGATATTCTGCCAGCCTCATCAAAGGCAAGATAATTCACGTTGGGGGTTATTCCTTTTTTCTTTTAATCACTTGATAATTTCTGGATTAAGATTCAAAACAGGGGCAACAATAAAAATCCGTGGCAGAATTCTCCTTAATTATAGAAAAGGGGGGCTTCATAAATATGGAAATCCGTCCTTATCTGCGGATGCCCTGATTTTTCTATACTTGGGTGCGCTCTGAACGCAATTATTTGGTGATTAATCTATTTTTCAGACTTTCTGTTCATCGGTTCCTTTTGATGAAAGTTTATGCAAGCAAAGATCACACAGAGTTAGCAGACAAGGATAATGGAATATAAATCATTGTACAAACAGAGAAGGAAGACAGAAAAACGTCTGTCCTGTTGGCTTCGTTAAGGGTGGATCTTTAGGGGAGAGGTGAAACCTCAATGTAACATTTCAGCCGCTTGAGTTCCATTTTTTTCCCTAAACCGTTGACAATATATAAATAATAATAATATAGTTAGAATGTAGAAAGGAAAACCATTTATAATATATAATATGTGATGTTATGGGTTGAACAGGGGAATAGTATATAATACACAATGGTGTGGGTTGAAGAGAGGACTCTCCAAAATACACACACACACACACACACACACACACACACACACGTTGAAGTCCAAAACCCTAGAAATGGGGAATGTGCTCTTATTTGGGGGAAACGGTCTTTGCCAATGTAATAAACTTAGAATTACATCATTGGGATAAGGGTGAGGTGTAAATCCAATGACAGGCACCCCATTAAATGATGGAAGTGAAGACACAGACACAGAGGAAAAGGCCATGTGGAGAAGGAGGCAGAGACTGGAGCGATGGGGCACTCCAGTTGGGGTGCAGTGGTCCCCGTGAGATTCTGCAGGCTGATCCCAACCTCATCTCCCTGTTTCTGACCCTTGGCATAGGATTTGGTATCTCTGGTCTTGCCAAGTCACCTCTCCCACACCAATCTGCCATTTAGTTTCCAAAAAAATCGTTGCTACTTGGCTCAAGCCTGTAATCCCAGCACTTTGGGAGGCCGAGGCAGGTGGATCACGAGGTCAGGAGATCGAGACCATCCTGGTCAACAACAAGGATCTGTGCTAATGACACACTCCCACCTGTAGGATCTGTGCTAACGACACCCTCCCGCCTGTAGGATCTGTGCTAATGACACCCTCCCACCTGTAGGACCTGTGCTAATGACACCCTCCTACCTGTAGGATCTGTGCTAATGACACTCTCCCACCTGTAGGATCTGTTCTAATGACACTCTCCTACCTGTAGGATCTGTGCCTACCTCATGGGTTCATTCCAAAGGGAAGGAGAGATCTACACTCATAAGTCACTGTGAAGATTCTGGAAAACAGCCTCAGATGTCAGAATACACCCCTCAACCATGTACTATCTCACCCTCACCTGACAAATTCCCTTTTGGTGACAGACACACTGAGGGTCACCTCTAAGAACCATGGCAAAATCAGTTTTTCAACCTTCTCTGATGCGTTTCTGCTACCTTGGTAGGGACGGAGGCTGAGTCTTAATCTCAGTAACTGCCGTCTAGAGAGTGAGGGAGTGAATCGGCATAATTTTTATCTGCATAAGAAAGATATCTTATGAAATGCTAATGAAGAAGGTGGAATCTTGAGGACCACAATTAGGGACACATAATTAAATGCTTACCTTTTCTTTTTCTGTTTTGATTCTTTGAACATCAGCCTCAACGCTGTCTGCACGGATAAAATATGGCATAGGGAAGACAAATTGGAAGCCTGGGCTGAAAATGCAAGCCTGGGCTGATGAGACCCTCCTCAGTTCATGGATTCCTCACACAGGGAAGGGGAGGTCAAGTGTATTGAGCTCAGTGCTGTGCAGACTCTGGGC